GACGAACTTACCTAGGTCATGATTGAACTCAGAAATGAAAGAGAACAAATTACGCAAAGGACTTCACGGAACACATATTCGACAAACAAGCATTTAATGCAAAATCAAACGAATTAAATGAAAAAGATCTGTGTAGCCATGAACGAACAACTATCTGCACCAACGGGAAGCTGAGCCACAACAGACACATTCAAATTCAAACAACGGGCAGATTTATCACTAGGCTATAAATATCAAGACCTAAGAAGAGAAGAAAAAGGAGAGAAGCAACGAGCAATAAGTAAAAGCAAGCGTCAAAACAAACTTATATCTCTTCTTGTTCAGATTTGAATATCAGTGTAAAACTAAGATAGTTTATCTTAGTGAGTGTAGAAAATACCCCATCCTCTCTGCGAGAGTTACATACACACTCTAAACACATATCCTTGTAAAACTAAGGTTGAATACCTTAGTGAGTGTAGAAACCATACTATCCTCTCTGTGAGAGTCACATACACACTCAAAAACACCCATTGTTTGTAAAGCCTGAAGAGGCTAGTAAAAGAATACTTGGAGAACCAGAAGTGGTTTAAGAATACTAGCGTCAACAAGTGAAGTTAACGAACCAGAAGTGGTTGAGAATACTTGGAGAACCAAAAGTGGTTTAAGAATACTAGTGTCGACGAGTGAAGTTGACGAATCAGAAATGGTTAAGGATACTTGTAATCCGTTGTGATTAGTGAAACCCTTCAGTTGAAGAAGACTGGACGTAGCTCAGAACGAGTGAACCAGTATAAAACTCTGTGCATTGTTTACTTGTCCTACAAACGAAATTTTTTATTGATATATCACACTGAAAAATTTCGTCTACTACTTATTTTCTAAACAATATTTAAACGAAATTATATTTTCTTAACTTAAGAAACTATTTCCGAGTAGACGATAGATCTTTAGACACAAAGTTTCTTTTAAACAATCTTGCACAGTCTCTAAGTACTTGAAATATTATTTTCAGACGGAAAAGAAGTCCCTTTGTGAAAACGTTTTTAAAATCCTTTGTTCACACACATTCAACCCCCCTTATGTGTGTTTTTCGCTAACTTTAGGAAATCGTCCCAGAACTGGGCACACGTCATCTGAATGAGTTTGTATGCCAGGTAGTGGGATTGACCATCAATCTTATGTATGTTGTGTGTTTATGTATGAGAGATTTTGTAACACCCCAATTTTCACAAATTATATGAAAGACTCAAAGCCCAATAAGGGTGATTTAGTAGCCCAGAACGGGTTGTTCCCAAACTAGAACGGACCGTTCCAAATTACTAAAATAAGAGTGATTTAGTAGCCCAGAACGGACCGTTCCCAAACTAGAATGGACTGTTTCAAACTACTAAAAATGCCTAAAACCCTAGTTGGGAACGGGCCGTTCTGCTTTAAGAACGGGTCATTCTAGATTTGAATTTAACACATGATGAAAGGATCCAGAACGGGGCATTCTAGATTCGAAACGGGCCATTCTAGCCACTTTTGACATCTATAAATAGTAGACTCTGGCACTGCTTCTGGACACACTCTTTGAAGACCAAGGAGAACCATGAGAAGGAGATCAACCAGATTCCACTCTAGCTTAGTCTTTTGCTTATCCAGGTAAGAGGAGATTGTTTGAAGAGGCAATTATATGAGTAAATTGTATTGTTTTAAATGTTTATTGTATGAATTAGAGTGCTCTGTGGGTTCTTGAGAGAACCCTATGAGAAACAGGCAAAATATGAATATTTTCTGTTTTGCTTTCTGATTGTTCTGTTGTATGCCTTGTTGGATGAGATGTACGAATATGTGTTTAATTTTGCAAATAGACAAGTTTTGATATAAATTAAAGTGCTCTATGGAGACTGTGTGAATATGATGAGATAATGTGAAAAGTGAATATGAGACATGAGATATGATGTTATATGATAATGAGACATGATGATGTGATATGATAATGAGACATGACGAGGTTATATGATAATGAGACATGATGAGGTGATATGATAATGAGACATGACGATGTGATATGATAATGAGACATGACAATGTTATATGAGAATGCATAGAGTCTTGATTTACATGCATCATTTGCATAAATGTTTTAAGGGTATGATATGGATTACACCGCCAGGGAAGGCCCCCTTGTGTAAAAGCTTGGGGATTAGTCCTTGTGGATAGCTCGGTTTGGAAGTCCCGGTCTCACCTATTGTGTGCATGGGATGTATCTTGCACGACTTAGCTATCTCGACTAGATCTTGGTAGTATGTCTTTCTAGTGAGAGTGCGTAGAGGGTGTGACCCGTCATGTACTCCTAGACTACTCTCGTGTATTGCTGACGCGGTAATACGCCATGTGATATGTGTTACTGGCGCCACATGCATGATAATATGTAGTTCGTCCATTACATGTACATTTTAATGTTATATGTTAAAGTGATTTTTATGCCTTTGATAGTGGAATGTGATATTGTTGTTAATCTATCTGTGCTATGCACATATACATGTCTTGTTTGTGTTTGGTTATTCGGTGTGTATTCCTACACCGTGAGCCAAAGTAAGATATTTCTCACTCCCTTTTATTTTGTGTTGTTTTCCTTGATTATTATACAGGTGATTATCAGTATGAGGCTGAGGATGTCGGTGATGAAGCTTAGGCTTTAATGTTGGGCTTTGCTCTGATAGGACATGTGACATCGGGGCATATAGGATTAGATTAGGATGTTATTCTTATTATTTTGAAAACCTTAGCATTATATCTTTATAATTTTCGTTGATTAAGTTATTTGTTTAAGTCATGGATGTGGTACTCTCTATCTAAACACGTTTGGTATTTCAATTATGAAAGATTGTGTTATTCAAATTTTATTATTTGTGTTATGATATGCGGGGTAAAGGGTGTCACAGATTTTTCCTAATGTTTCTGTTTTATTCCTTATTTTTCTTACTCATAATTAATTGCACGAATTATTTAAATGGATGATTAATTTTATGTTTTAGATTGAAATTATATGATTTGAGGTCCCTATGGGTTCCTGTGGGAAATTAATTATGACAAATTAGAATTTGATTCATGCTATTTACTTTGAGTAATTTAATTTTTATTTCGTTGTAATTTGTTATTTTTGGTAAGTCTAGTTTAGGTAAAAATATGATTCTTTTTACTTGTATGGATTTTGAGTTTTATATATTATATTTGAGGTATTTCAGTTTATAACATATTATGTATTATGGTATGCAAGGTACAAAGTGTCACAATTTTTGGTCTTATAATTTTGCAAATGTGTAATTTTGATCCTGAAAATTTTTATTGCAAATTTGCTTATAATTTTTAAAGTTAAGTAATGTTAGTCTACTCATTAACATTTTATTCAAAATTAATAAAAAAATGTTAATGTGTCTATGAATAATACTGTTAGATAGGATGTAGTTTCCCAAACATGTAGGAAAATAGTAGTTTTAAAATTTTCAATTTTTTAATAGATTGTAAATTTTAATTGAAAAAAAATGTTCTTTACATGAAAACTAACCTGACTAAATAACTTTTGGGCACTATCATTCACATGCACATTAACATTCTTTATTTTATTACATGTCATTGGGTAGATTAACATTACTTATTATTTTTTAAAATTAGAGAGACTACAATTACATTAAAAAATTTGGGAACCAAACTTGCAATCATAAAACTATAAACATCAAAGTAAATTTAAACCAAAATAATATGGCTCAGACTTCATGGGCTCCATCTATTTGATTAAATTGGGTCAATTTTGTCAGTTCTAAAATAGGGTGGAATCATTTCAATATATTCGATCAGATTGAGTTGAGTATACTGCTTGGTGGGAGAACTTTGTTGCATTGATGTAACTAGTATTGACTTAACATATTGTTAGACTTAAAACAAATCTTAAAGTGAGACTTTTTAAAAATTAATAATAATATCTTTCAATAAAAAATAAAAATGTTTTAGAGATGAATTTTGAAAAAATAATTATATTATGTGTTTTTAGAAACTAACTTTTTAGAGTAAGTTTTTAAGAATACAAAAAATGATTTTTAAATTGTAAACTGTAAAAAAAATTATATAAATATTAATATAAATTTCTTTTGAAGTAGGCTTAAACTAAGAACTTTATTGACTTTTAGAAACCCTTAATTATAAAGATCGAATAATACATGTGATTTATAAAAAAAATTAAGAATCCTACCACAATTTATAGTTAAATTATAATATATTTTTTTGTGTATAAAAGAATTTTAATTGAATTCAAAAGTAATACATGACATGCATTCATGGAAAGCAATTCAGTGGCATTGGACATCCCTCAGCAGTGAAATCAAGTACAACCAACGTGGAAGTGTAGCAAACCTCAAACTATTGACAGACTCAAGAGACTGGTCGCCATGCGCCCATGGCCAACCCGTTACATGTGGCAACTTTGACTGCATAGCCATGCTGCTTCTTCTGATATGTACAAACCTTCAACCATGGATTAATAACACACCTACTACTCCTCCATTCCAAAATATTGCAACTTAGGAATTTTACATGTAAGTCAAGCTTAAAGAAATATATCACTTTTAATACAATTTTATTAAAATAGTTTTACTCTTTCAATAAATATATTATTTTTAATTATGGTAGTGTAAAGATTTATGAAGAGATATTTTAAAAAAATTAATATTATTAAAAAGTAACGAGAACATTAACTATTTTTAAATTTTTTCAAATGCTAAAATTCAGTTATTTGAAACGAAATGAGTATATACATATACAACTTGTGCCAAAATTCAGTTTTCTTCTTCGCTTCAAACTCATTGATGACTTAGCCTTCCGAGGCCATATTATAAAATTTAATCATTGCAATAAAAAAGTCCCAAACATGAGCTTAGCATTGGTGTTGACATTTGTTTATTCCAATTCTAGCAGAGTGCTGATTGGTTTATATAAATAAAAGGGTATGTGTAGTAGTAGTACTTAGTACATGAGATTGTAGTAGGTCTAGTGAAAAATAGTGATGGAAGCCATGTTGAAATTGTCTAGTTTTTGCGGTCAAGAGATAGAAGATAAGGGAGGTGCTTCCATTCGCTCACAAGAGGACTTTTGTAGTGGAAAGGGTAGTAAGGTATAAGTTGCAGCTCTAAACTTTATTTTGGCTTCCATGAATGGTTTTGATTGACAGTTTCTGAAGAATATCTTTTTAATTTCTGCACCAAATTAAACCACAGAAGTAACGAACTGACTTTTCCACTTCAATTGAATAGCTCTTTCAGTTTGCTATTTCTCAGGAAACATTGGCATCATTTATGTGATGTGGATCTCTCGTCCTTTATCAATACGAATAGGAAACTACTTTGTAGTTTGGCCTTGACATAAAATATGACGCATAAATAAGAAATAAGAAGGAATCTTTTATTCTAATTTCAAGCTTATAGGTGTCTTTGAAATGTGAACTGACTAATAGTTTTATGCACTTGTTTTCAAAATATAGGAAGATAAACTTAATTATGCTAAAGCTGAGATGGGTAAGATGAAAGAAGAGAATGAAAGATTGAAGATGATGCTAGAAAAAGTTGAAAAGGAATACCACTCTCTTCAACTTCGTTTTTTTGACATCCTTCAAAGAGAAGCTTCCAAGAAAGGTGGGGAAGATTCAGCTGCTCCCCTTGATGAAGAGGAGGAACCTAAACTTGTGTCACTTTGTCTTGGAAGAAGTCCAAGAGAGCCTAAAAAGGATGAAATAACTGATAAGTATAGCAAACAAAAAGAAAATGAAGATTTGCAAGCCAACCTTACCCTTAGTTTAGACTTCAAAAGTGCGTCTTCAAAGGAACAGTTATCTGATATGATCCCCATGAACACTTCAGAAGGACTAAAGGAAGAAGATTCAACAAATAAATTAATAAGGACCAAAGATGGAGGTGATGAAATTTCAGAACTAACACCCCCCACCAAGAAGGCTAGAGTTTGTGTGAAAGCTCGATGTGATACTCCCACGGTTAGTGCTTATGAAAAATTCTATTACCACTACTGTCTACTAATACATCATATCACCATCATTCTAGTGTTTTCTTGGTTTATGTAAAAATTGTAGTCTCAAAACTCAGTTCCTTTTGTAGTCTTTTTGCTTGTGAAATAACAATTGTTATGCCTTTCAAACAGATGCATGATGGATGCCAGTGGAGGAAATATGGACGAAAGATAGCAAAAGGAAATCCATGTCCAAGAGCATACTATCGTTGCACACTTGCTCCAGCATGCCCGGTTAGGAAACATGTATGCATCAATATGTTTGAGATAAAAAAATGTTTGAAATAAACTTTTCTGCAAATACTTATCAAACAATAAAATAAGAAGGCAAAATAATTTGAGCTTTTTATTTAAACAAAAATTAACCTAAGCACTTAATTTTTATAGAAATCTTCTCACTTAACTTTTCCAAACACTAACAAGTTGATTTTAGCTTACGAAAGAAACTGGATTCATTTTTACCTTTTTTATTTACTTGTCATGTAAGTGTTACAGAGAAGTTAATCTAATCAAAGCCTTGATTTAATTATAGACAATATTGAAGAAGTTGATTAAGATATGTTATTCTCTCTAACATTTTCTTACTACTAATCTCTCTACTATTTGTTAAAAATCATAAATTTTGGTGAATTTTATCACTAAAATAGAAGAGAAATTCATTAAATAAAATACGTAACTTATAATATTTGTGATTTTTAATAAATTTTGGTTAATAATAAAGAGTTTTAGAACGAGTATTGGTAGCATTTCTGTTTAGATATACAGCGGGGTTAGAATACTCAAAACTGGATGTATTACCACAGGTGCAAAGATGTGCTGAGGACATGTCCATCTTAACCACCACATATGAAGGAACTCACAACCACTCACTTCCAGCTTCAGCCACAGCTATGGCTTCCACCACTTCTGCTGCTGTTTCCATGTTGTTGTCAGGTTGTTCAATATCCCAACATACAGATCACAATTTTGCATCTCATGCAAATTCTCCTACACTGTTCAGTGGTTTAAATTTGGGCCTTTTAGACCAACGTCCAAGAGCAAACCAAGCCTTGTTACGAACCCCTTCCTCACATTTTCTCCCAACAATCACTCTAGACATGACTTCTGCTCCATCCTCATCAACTCATGTCCATTGCCTACCTTCAAGCTTTGCTTCAACCCCAAGAATCCCATCATTAAGTCCAAACTTTTGCTCCTCAGAATCCAACATTCCACTATCGTTTTGGCGCAAGGGACTTTCTAAAAGTGGCACTACTGTTCCTATTGGCAAAACTTACATCAATCCATTCAATATGGGAAATCAATTTCAAGAACATTTCTACCAACAATGCTTTAAGAACCAAGAGCCTTTGGCAGAAATACTAACCAAAGCAATAAGCACAGACACAAGTCTTTGTTCTGTTATAGCCGCTGCAATTTCATCTATAAGTGGACAAGGATCAAGTAGTGAGAACATGGGTGATGGAAAATTTTTTGGTTCAGGATTGAGCCTGAAACTAGGGGTGCATTCTCAACTTGCTTCATCCAATTCCTTGAACCAGAATGGGAAATGATGCTTAGCAGGCTACTTCAACAAATCATCACCATCATCTTCAAGTTCTCAGGGTGGAAACTTCACGCTTCTCCAACCTCAATGGCCATTTTCTCTTCCCAAGACTAGCACTCCTCCTTCCAATGTTGATCACATCAACCACTGGATCTCAGAAATCAATTATCATCATTAGTGTCTCTCCTGTTCTTCATTTAGGAATCAATGTTCATGAGCAATTCATATAAACTGAAATAGGCTAGCTGTACAGTCCAAACTACATTTCTATCATTTCATAGGATGTCAAAATAGAATATGAAGCATAAGATGTAAGTTAGGACAAAAAGAATACCCAGAAATCAATCATGTCACTCTTGATATGGTTACCACAATCTTGTCAATTGTCATTCCATTTCGATTTTGTAAGATGTAACACTCCAACACAGCTTCAAAAAGGACAATTAGTTGATGGTAAAAGTGTGTAAAAGTTCATTTTCTTCATATTTTGGTTTGCTCAAAGAACAATGAAGCAATGCATGGAAGTTAGCACACTACTGACATTTGCAAAGTGCAGTTACGCTTATCATGGTTTAAAACATTAGAACTACACACTCTGCTAATCATTTTTCCTTTTATTGGTTAAAATTTATTAATAATAACAAAATAAGTGTAGGACCCATGTCCTATTTAATGAATCTTTCTTGTATTCTTATAGTATATAATAAATTCTAACTAATAAGAGAAAGTGTATAAGAGTTTGATAGGAAGTATATCCTTGACCCTTCTCAACATATAGAATGTGTTAAACAATGCGCTACTAAAATTTCCGATTTATTCGGATATTACCTCATAGCCTTAAAACTGTTATCATTTCCACTTGAAAGAACCAAAATTCCTCAGCTTCATCCTACTTGTGAATGCAATTTTGGCTCAAGTAATGATACCATTATTATTATTATTATTATTATTATTTTCTAACCATGTACTATGATATTGCAGAGGAATTCCTCCTTCAAACTAAATGAAGGATATTGTGCTCATTGTGGTGTGTATAGTATGTATCTGAAGAAGGCTATAGAGGAATTGATTGTTGTGTTTCAGATGCATTGATAATGGATTCGATGGATAATATTTATACAAAGAGTTAATCCTAAGTTCTAGGAAGGTTATTACTAAAAATCTATTCATTAAGCTAATGATAACAATAAATAGCATATCTGTTATGTAATAAACAACTAATGATAACAAAATAAAACTAACAAGATACATTTGAAATCATTTGAATTACAAGTTCAAGTTGTAGTTGAGATACGCATCATTATCCAATAAACACAAAACCTAAATTCAAACTTAATTTTGCTCAGTCTATGTTATGTTGGACTTGATCATGTAAAACAAAAATTTGTGGAAGCGCACATTACTTTGTTGAGGAAAAATAGGAAAACAAAAATGAGAGGAATAGAAACTTTACATGCATGTATAAATAACACCATGCTATAACTACAAAATACAATTCCAACTATGACAAAGAAAAAGAGAGAGAAAAGACAAGTTTAGAAAATAATATTTTATTTTCTAGGTATATTTGGATAGTGAGTTAATTGTTTATAAATACATACTTTTTATATTTTCTCCTTTATCAATAATATATTTTCAGTAGTCCAGGGGCGTAGGTATAATTAGCCGAACTTTGTTATCAATTTTGTGTGTTATTATTCCACATTTGTTTTGTTTCTCGCAAATATGATTATAAGAAATTTTGTGTAACTTCTCAAATCAAGAGCAATGAAGATGATTTCTATCAATTCTTAAAATTTTTATAAACAATCCAAAAGAAGTCAGATTTGAGTGGGAGAAATGGTTTTGAGAAGTTTGATAGTGATGATTTCTAGAGGGCATGAAGAATAAAGATTGAATTTTTCTTGATAGATAAGCTCTCAAAGTTATTCGATTGATGTTAACCCTGATGTTGCATTTAATATTGCAAAAGGAAAGACCATGAAGGGTCTTATGGCTACTCTTTCTAGTATGTATGACAAGTCATCAACATTAAACAAAGTTCATTTGATGATACCATTAATTAATTTGCAAATGATGGAAGGCACATTGCCAATACAACATCTCAATGAACTTAATATGGTCACAATCCAATTGGGTTCAATTGGAATCGAATTTGATGAAGAAATACGAGTATTGATACTTTTATCTTCTCTACTAGAAAGTTAGAACGCTATTACCACAATTGTGAGTAGTGTAACATAGTTAGTTAGTTCAGGGTTTAGTGGATGCTAGAGAGAAGAGTATATAAGGTTTTCTCTGAGAAGGGAGCCTCATAAGCATTCTCAAAGGAATTCTAGAGAGAAGTTTTAGAGAGAAGGGCTCTGGATCCATGAGTTCCTTTCTCTCCCAAATTTCTCTATTTGATTCTTCTTCTTCTATAGATCACTAACTCCTTCTTAATTTTCTTGGAATTCAAGCTAGGAAGCTTGTTTTTGGAGGATTGAAGTCCGTGGGTCGAGCTTCGGGAGAAAATTCTTCTTTTTTCTCCATTCTTGGCTGTTTTGAACCAGTTTTTAGGTGAGAGAAGCTAGAATGTATGTTGTTTCATTGCATGTGAGTTTAGGAACTCAATTGATGCATGAATTTTGAGAATCCATGGTTGGATTGGAGAAATTGCTCATTTTTCGAGGTTTTAAGAAAAATGGGGTTTTTGGTGATTTTGATGCATTGGTTGGGTGCATGTTGAATCTGTTGTGTTTCGGCCGGGCGCGAGTGGACTACGCGGGGCGTGGAAGAGCTTAGAGCTCTCGGGTTAGATGTTAGGCCAAGCGCGATTTGGCTGAACCGAGCGTGAGTGTGTTTGGTGTTTTTGATTGAAAATGATGCTTTTACATGTTTAAAGTTGAAGATTTGATCATGTATGCATGATATATGATGTATGGTGATGCATGATTCATATGTCTGTTTGGTAATGATATGTATGAATGTTTAAATATGATATGACATGTGTATATGTTCATATGATCATGATGGTAGATTGACCATGTATGATGTATGATACATTATTGTATGTGATGCCTTATGGCATGAGTCTAGCCTAGGACTTTAGGAGAGGGAAATAATTTTCAAACTAGAAGAGCTCATGTAGAGTTTCTTGAGAGTGGTGCTTGGATAGGCCACTGATATAAATGAGAGTGGTGCTTAGATATGCCACTGGTTTTGGGTGAGAGTGGTGCTTAGATAGGCCACTGATTTGGGTTAGTCTACTCTAAGTCCTTAGTTAGTGTTGGAGTGAGGTATGAGGTTGATGGTTATTCCTTTAAGCAAGTACTGGGGAAGGTGCGTGGTTCCTTGTGGATATTTGGTGGGCGAACTCTACAAGTGACTTGGTAATGCATGCCAAGGTCGTGGTAAGCCTATATCCAATTGTGCTATACTTGACGGTGGAACCAAACTTCCAAGTGTGTAAGTGACATCATCCGAGTAAACCCGAGTGAGGATTTATATCCTGTTTAGTTGTGACTAAGCGGGCGCATTGGGTGTGAAAACAGTTGGGGTGGTTTCGTAGGTTTGGGATGTCACTTATACTTCTCTGCTGTTAGGGAGATCTCCTAGGTGTATGCGTGACGACGCATTAGATGATTGATATGCATTGACATCTGCCATGAGTTGCTATTATTGCATGATTTCTAGTATGATGAAGTGTGTGGTGTTGACTTCATGTTTGATGAATTGATGATTGATTTAGATGGGAGTCCCTTTGGGACTTGATTGGATGAATGTGTAGTATAAATTTATTCTGTACTTGTATGGTTGCTTTTTGAACTCTAACTTACCCTTCTGTTCCCATGTTGATGCACTGCGATGATTATACTGTGTATGAGAGCAGGTCAGGGTTAGGTTAGAGCTGGTTGCTAAAACCGTTGCGGGACATGGAGTTCTATCCTCGTGTTAGAGTTACCATTTTGGGTAACTGTTTGGTTTGTGCTTAACCGACACTAGGATGATATTATTTTTGGGATGACTGTATATATATGGTGTTATATTTTGTACATAAAATTTAGTTATTATTATTTTTATATATACCCGTATGAGTTATCCAGTTTTAATATCTTTTCTTGGTCTATTAGTTTTTAGCACGATTCCTCTAAATGTAGGGACTACGGCGGGTCGTTACAAGTAGCCCGTCAAGAAGAAATAATAGTTGAAATTCAATGATATTCATGATCTAGTTCTTTGCAAAGAGATTCGACAGAAAAGTCAAGTGAATTTTCAACCTCTTATATTTTGCATACGAAGTCAAGAAGAAGAAACTTAACCAAAAGAAATGAACGTGGTAAATCCAAGAATAAAAGATCCTGGTCCAAGAATCATTGTAATTTCCACAACTCAAAGATAGTTGAGTGTTGAAATTGTGGAAAGATCGGACAACACAAAAATCAATGCAAGAGTGCACTAAAGAATCAAGTGGTAAAGACTAAGGAAAATGTTTCTACCTCGCGAGGAGATGATGCATTGATATGTTCTACAGTGAACAAGGAAAAGTCTTCGGTGTCAAAAACTAGAGCATCCTTTCATGCCACTTCACAGAAAGAATTCTTTGAGAATTTTATCCTCGAAAACCTCAAAAAAAAATTACCTTGGTAATGAGAAATCTTGTGATATTATAGGTAAAGGTTTAGTGAATATTAAGTTAAATGGATCTATGTGAGAATTGAAAAATGTTAGATAATATGCATTTGGCAAGTATATCAATTGTTGTATGTAGTAAATTAGATAGAAGTCCAAGTTATCAAATTCATAGGGACTTGAGTTATAATTGTTTAATTTAATTTAAGTACTAGATAAATGGATTAAATTAAGAAATTTAAAATTGTTTAGCATGGAATATAAGAAATTTATAAAATTATGAAATTAAAAAGCATATAACAAAGTAATGAAGAATTTGAATTTAGATAATAATAATAATAATAATAATAATAAGAATAAGAATCAGAGATTAATTTTACTAACCTTCCTCATGTAAATCCTCCTCAATTTTCATTCAATATTAGAAATTATTTAATTAATTTGATAGTTTTCAAATATATTTAACCCTAATTCCTTAGAAGAAATTATAGGTTGTTTAAGGAAAATCCTAATTCCTTGATATTTGTTAAGTAACTTGAGTTAAGGTCAGGATCTAAAAATTGAGTAATAAGACTTATTCCTTTTGCAAGGAAATAAATGCTATCAGCATTTTACCTAGAACATAATTATAAGAGAGTTTTCCAACCTTAGTTAAAACTATAAAATTATACATTGACTATAGAAAACATTAAGTATAAAGTAATATTGATTAACTGAATAAAAATAATATATTGAATGAGAATAGAGAATATTACATGAGTACAATAGCTACATCAATCTCCAATAGTAGAGAACTTAACCACTAATGACTGATGATTACACAAGAGAAGAGAGATCTTCAATCAACTCATGATTACAAAAAATACTATTACAAGATCTCTCTCTAATCTCTCTAAAATTGTGTTCGAAAAAGTATTGATTGATTCTAAGACCTCTTAGAGAGACCCTATTTTTATAACATTTTCTAATGGCTTTTAAGTCAAATATGCTTGCTCAACGCACCCACGTGACTTGCTTTGAGCAAGCTTATGTAGTAGTTTAATGCGAGCTTAATGGTAGCTTGGAGCGAGGTGCTAACTCAAAGCAAGCTTAGTGGCAGCTTTAAACGAATGTTGATGAAACCACAAGTAGGGGGATGTCAATCCACTTGAATCACCTAAACAAGCTCATGGGGGGTGAATCAAAACTAGAAAATATTTTAGAATAAAACTCATCCATAAGAAGCCTAAACTTAGGAAAACAATCCAAATAAGGATACGTCGAAATTACCATAGAAGCCGCAAAAAGAGCGAGACTTCTAATTTTTTTCTTATATTGCATGCTATTTCTAGCTAAGTAGATCACCCATGGAATATGAATCAAGGTAGAGAGTATGACATCTTTCACTTAAGAACTCCACTCCCTATTAAGAATAGACTGCAAGAATTCTATAGTTATGAGATCCAAAAACAAGTTCAAAACATGCTACAACCAAGACCATAGAGAATAAGTAAAATCACACCTCAAAAAAAGATGATTCAAGGATTCATCAGATATGCCACCTAGGCTGTAAATCGAAACCAAAGCCACACCCTAAATACTTAGTTGAGCAACAAAAGGAAGACTATTTTGCAAAAGTTGTCAAACTAGACATAAGCATGAAAGGGAGTATAGAGATGGACCACAAATACTCAGCCCATGAAATGAAACTGTGGGCTTAGGAGGATGAACAAAGAGAGAGGCCTCCTTCAAAGAAAGGATACCCACGCTTGTTGGATGCCACATAGGTTGATCTAGACCTTAGCCTCTAGGAACATGCATCTCCATAAGCAAAGAAGGGAGTTTCTAAAAGATCAATGAGGAGATGCTCGAGACAGAGTTACAAATGAAACAATTCATCGAAGCCTTCAAAGACAATTGTATACTAGTAGAAATTTGCAAAGCATCAACAATCGAGGTATACATGCACCAAACATCAGTCCAAAAATTAATAAAAGAACCAATTTTCAAAACCCAACCTATGTTAGCTTTATCGGTATTTCAATGACAAAAAAAAAGTAGACCAAATAGACAAAGCTTTATAACTAACCATTGGAAGGCCATATGTGATAACCAAGCTGTCATTATAAGGAAGTCCAATAAGCAATAGAGTAGACAAAGTTCCAAGCTAGACATAACGAATCAACTTTATTAAAAACTACAAAAGAGTGCAAAATAAGACCACCATCCTGAAGAAGTCGAACCTAAATTATTTTATCTTTGGGTAATATAATTTGCTTACGACGAGAACCGCCGGCTGCTACTGCATCTGAAGCAACAAGCTTTAATTTATTGTGATTCTGTTCCCTTGTCTCTTCCTTTCTTTCCAAATAAAAATCACATAGGATCTTGATCTAAATGTTTTAGCATCTCTATAATGTATTTAATAAGCAAATAAAAAGAAAAACAAATACTTAATTTTTATAGATATGGATTAATTATTATTTCTTTAATCAACAATTCAAAGAAATATATTATTGAATTGAATAAGAATGTAACACTGGAGGTTCTAAAATTCGTTGACTTTGGAGCACAGCACGATGACAACTAAGAACTTCCTACAATGTGGTTGGAGCAATATATTAATTAAGACTAGTTTGAATTTCTTTTTAAGCACTGAAATTGCAAGACAAACAACCAAACTTTTTCACTGACTTAATTTCTTTTCCTTCAAAGTTCTCTCTTGCTATCCCTCCATAATCAATTCTGAATTTTATTATTAAATAGGAAAATATATATATAATGAGCAAGATCTTTGTGGTGTTGTGTCTGGTCTTAGCTACTACTTCTGGGTTTGTCCATGGATCTTTCAAGAAGAAGGATCATATTAGGCTATTTGAGCTCAAGAAGGGTGATTTTTCTATAAAGGTCACCAACTGGGGTGCAACACTTGTGTCCCTAATACTTCCTGATAAGAATGGTACGTACATTCATATATGCATCTACTTAATCAGTTTCTGAGCTTTCATTATTAATTAATTGCTTTTCTTTTATATGCATTTTTAACACTGTTTTCTTTCACTATGAAGGAGAGTTGGGTGATATTGTTCTTGGATATGATTCTCCCAAGGCATACACTGTAAGTGATAATATTTATATAAAAATTTCCTTGAATATGTTCATTTCTGAATTATCGATCTATTTACGATTACATTTTAAAGTTTACTAATAACTAATGAGAAAAATATAATTTTCAAGTCTGATCTAGATCCATGGGGAAAAGAAGTCCATTGGTAAATATACATGTTTAGTCAACAAATTTCCATATTTTATTCGGTAAAAAGTTTTTTAAATTTGAAGAAGTCAATGTGATACGAAGTTAATTAGTATATTACCAATAAATAATAAATTAAAACCGACTCCTAATTAGATTAAAAATGACTTAGGAAATCCTCTCTCTCTCTCTCTAATAAAAATATGTGAGTTTATCTTTATTTTTTTATATTAGTGTAAAAAAAAGACATTTCATACCCCTTGCATTTTATTTAAAATATAAAAATAAATAAAAAAAATAATTGAAGTTAAATATGTGTAAATAATTAAAAATTAAAGAATGTGAGCGATTTTGAGTAATTATTTAAAAAATATGAAAATTTTGAAAAGTAAATTTATGGAAAATTAGAGAATAAAGATAATAAAAAAGGTATGAGTGAAAAAAAAATATTTTGGAAATTAAGGAGCATGATAACCGTAAAAAATAAGAAATGACGTAAAATGAAAGTATAAAAAAAAAGGGTAGGATTAGATATTTTTGAAAGGGTAAATCTTATTCTTCTTAGAAGATTTAACTCTTCTTAACTCAAGTTTTTACATGAACGTTAAGAACAAGATATGTATATCATCAAACATAGTTTATAGTTGACTTTTTGTATTATTTTTTTCTTTCGTTTTTACAATTCCCTACAGTAATAGGAACATTATGAAATATGATCTAAAAATGTATAAAAAAAAATGACAATTTTAATTTAGTTTCCTTTAGATATCAAGGATACAAACTTATTATTAGGATTATGTACGCTCTTTTATTATTAATTGTTGACTTTTATCTCTCTTTTTTTTTTCATTTTTTAAAAATGTACTGAGTTTTTTTTAACGGTAATTCAAATTAATTTCTAAGGCTAATAATAAAGGGTTTTTAATATTTTTTATTGACAACATACATAGTTAAGTAGTGTAATTAATTAACAGAGGCACATAACATGAAAATATTCTATATTGCCTATTGGGATTGAATTTATGATTGTTAAATTTTATGTATTATGTTGGTAGAAAATAAAACTTGAAGATAAGACAAATGTTTGATTTATTTTTTTATTTAAAGATAATTAGACAAATATTATCAATATACTTTTTAGTATTTTTTTATTAGTTAAAATTTATTAAAATTATAAACTCACAAGTGAGACTTATTATATAAGAATTTTAAGTGAGACAAAACATAATTTTGTAATTTCTAATAAATTTTAATAATAATAATAATAAATATATTCAAAATGGTGTGTTTGATGAGATTGTGATAGTACCATTCTGAGTACACGTATCCATATGATAACTTTCTGTTATTTTAAATTAGCACCTTATTTTCTTATATAGATGTAAAATAATAGTAATAATAATATTAACTGAGTAAAATTCCACAATATTTGCAGAATGATTCATCATACTTTGGAGCTACTATCGGCCGGGTTGCTAACAGAATTGGAGGAGCTCAGTTCACTCTAAATGGAGTTCATTACAAATTAATTGCTAATGAAGGAAACAACACACTTCATGGTACACATGTTTTACCATATTATACAATTGACCGCAATTTTTCTATATATAATTGCATGAATATGTTTTGTTTATCACATATCTCATATGGAAAGACTAACTCATGCTCTCTGACTGCCCTTAGGTGGACCAAAAGGATTCAGTGATGTTCTTTGGAAAGTGGTCAGGTATATAAAAGATGGTGACAAACCTAGGATCACATTCAGTTACCACAGTTTTGATGGTGAAGGAGGTAATAATTAAGCAGTATCATTATTCTTTAATGTTGTTGAACTGTGAAGCCAATATTTATATCAAGAAAATAGTCCATGCATCAATAATGTAAAAAAAAAAGAAAAAAAAAGTTTTTTATAGTATATTTTAATTGTTAAATTAGTCTAAGAACTCTGTTGACCTTTCTAATTAATAACTACCTAAAGTTATACTTATTGTAATTTTATTAGACAAACTTAGATATATTTCTTCAAGGATTATTTTCCAATTCATAATTAGAGTTTTACATCACATCATTCTTTAATGTACGTCGTACATATAAATTATTATATAAAATAAAATTCTAATTCTAATTGTTAAACAATACGAGAAACTTATCTAAATTTTATCTTTTTTTACACCAATAATGCATCCAAATTAAACTCATTTTAAGTCATTTATATTTGTGATAAAAGCTTATGTAGATTTAGAAATTAAATTCATCTACACACACATTTGTGATTTCATAATCGAATATTAGAACGTTTCAGGATTTCCTGGGGACCTCTTGGTAACAGTAAGCTACATTCTTGGGAAGAACTCACTGAGTATAATCATGAAAGCAAAAGCCCTAAACAAGCCTACACCTGTGAATCTGGTGAACCATGCATACTGGAACCTAGGGAACCACAACAGTGGCAACATCCTAGATGAAGTGGTTCAGATCTTTGGGTCCCAAGTCACACTTATTGATGACCATCTCATTCCCACTGGCCAATTTGCTTCTGTGAAAGGAACCCCATATGACTTCCTTGAGCCACACATTGTTGGGGACAGGATCAACCAGTTGCCAAAGACCAATGGCTATGACATCAACTATGTGCTTGATGGTGGAAAAGGAAACAAAGAGATCAAGATTGCAGCTATAGTGGTGGATAAGAAGTCAGGGAGAGTGATGAAGCTCTTTACAAATGCTCCTGGTTTGCAATTCTACACTGCTAATTTTGTCAAGAATGAGAAGGGCAAAGGAGGGTTTGTTTATCAGCCACGTTCGGCACTGTGTTTGGAGAGTCAAGCTTTTCCTGACTCTGTTAATCACCCTAATTTCCCTTCAACTATTGTCACCCCGGAAAAGCCTTACAAGCATGTTATGTTGCTCAAGTTTTCCACAAAAATTCCACATGCTTTTTCACAGTACTAGAGTTAGAACTGTGTTTTCAGTCACTTGTTATGTGCTTTGTATCAATGTAGCATGACTATTGTTGTGCTCATGCAAACTTGGGTTGGCTTCATTAAAATGAATAATGAAATATTATATCCGCTCTTATAACTTGGGCGCTTTATATCATTCACTTCATTTAAATTTAGATTCAAATTTCGATACTTTTCAAGATAACCCAAAAGTGTGTTCATCCACATATAGGAATTAATGGTTATAAGTTATTTTTCTAAGTTCATTAGCTCACTTTATTGTTATATATGGATTAGGATTGAGTCAATTGTCCATATTATTCTCATCCATTGTAAGGTAAACCTACTCAACCTTAATACTTATCATTTCTAGAAAGAATAATATAATATCCCATCATACTTCACAGTTACCTTTATACCTTTTGGTAGACATTAGCAAAAGTAATAATTGTTGAAAGTACTATAAGAAGGGAGTTATTTAAACCTTATTAGTTTTTTATATGACAAATTTCATATTCTTTAATAAAAAATTTAAAAATAGTATTAAGACCGGACTTAAATGTTAATTAATAATTTTTTTATCTTATTTATAACATTAAATATTATTAGTGTTTTTACCTATATATAAAAGAGTTTTTTAATTTTAGATAAAACTATGAAAGCGTGCAATTGATGATCAATCCACATGTAATACTTTGAAGTTTTCTAAAAATAATAAAGGATTTTTTTAACTAGTAAAATGTGTTTTATAAATAATATGGTGACTTTTAAAATAAGTTTTAATTTAATTAAGGAAAATTTTATGAAATTATATGATATGTAAATTATTTGGAGATACGAGTTTTATATTTGTTTTAATTAAAATAAGACAAGTTGGATTTTAGGAAAGGTTAAGGTTATAGATTCTTTTAGGCATAGGAACACATGTCGAAAACGTGGAAATCTTTCTTCTAGCATCTATTGAGGTAAAAAGGAGTGAGTTATTTCACTGTGGAGTGTGAGGTAATTTTTTGGGTAGCACAATTGACTCTCAATTCTTTTGTTGTGATTTTGTTGCTCTATAAGGGAGCCTTGAGAGCTCCTCATTTGGTATGAGAAAAATATAAAAATGTTTGGTATCATGTTTTACTCTGTAGGAGGATCTTGGGAGTCCCCTTGTTTGGTAATTTGAAGAAGATAATTGAATATTTTTATAGAATTATTGATCTTGAGGACATACGAATGCCCTTGAATGCATGTCTGACTTTGTTTATGTGATAATGTTAATCTATTAAATCCCATAGTTTCTATAGGTAAACCTTAATTTATAGAGTACAATAAAGATTGATGAAATCAATTTTTTTTTTGTGAAATTGATGTATGTGCATGTTTAATTAATTGATGATATAGAAGTGTAGTTTAGGCATTAATTATGTTTTTAAGCAATTGAATTGAGAGAACTAAGTTAGGTGTGAGTTGCGTTTTGTTATTTAAAAATTCTGGTATGAACATGTATTGGTATTTATGTGATTTCTCTCTATATGATTAGCTAATTAAAGTTTTGTTTGTTGGGTTTGAAATTAGACATCTGGGGCTACAATTTAGACTCAATAATTGATGGAATCACACTAAGGTCAAAAAGACCAAGATTTGATATTTTGAAAGAGGCAAGAGGAATGTGTTAGTTTTGAAAACCCTAAGAGGAGTGAGCCTACTTTTGGGCCTTAGCTCTTACGTTTTTATTAGCATAAAATTTATTCCTATTTTTTCCTTATCTTTAAATTTCCCATTTTCACCCTTGTATTTTGGGTATCTTAGACATATGATTTATTTTCTTTTGTATTTCCCATTTTACCCTTGTATTATGGGGTATCTTAGTCATAGGATTTATTTTCTTTTGTATATCTCATTTTACCCTTGTATTATGGGGTACTTTAGATCATAGGTTTTTAATTTTGGCTAAGGTATTTAATTAGGGAGCTAGACGTATTTTTTGGCGGTGTTTGGACCTATTTTTTGGACTTAGAAAGGCTTAGGTCCAAGTGGAAGACAAAGGTTGCATGGTCTTATCATGCACCTAGATGTAGCCTAACTAAACTCAAAGATTCCATCCTTGGCCACTAAGTTGCATCTAGGGTTAATTTGGGTTTCATTTGGTGTGCATTTGAAAATGTAAATTTTGGCCAATGCAACCCTAGATGTCTCTCACTCCTATAAATACCCTAGGAACCATACCTTGTAAATACTTTGGAAATTGAATATAAAGAGAGAATTTTTGCCTTTATATCATCCTTAGTCTTCCTTGGCTAAATTCGGCCACCACCATTCCTATCTACACCTTGAGAGCAAACACTAGAAGTGGCCTTCAACTACCTTGAAGTGAGCCAAACCCTAGAGTGCCCTCTCACACATTTCATCAAACACCTCCCCCACATCTTTCATTTTCGTCCATTCTTTTACAACCCACCATAAATCACGCATCACCTTTGAAGAACTTGATCCTTGGAGTAGGCGTCCTCTCCCTTGCTCATCATCTCAAGTTCATGCAAGCTAGGATGTCCCCAAGTGGTATCTAGAGCCAAAGGTTCTTCAAGGGTAACATTTTTGGTCTCTCATAAAGCCGGTTGTAACGCCCGATTTATATAATAATAATTATATATTTTCTTATATAATATTTTCGCAATTATATCATTAACATTTTTTTTATAAAGATAAAGGTAAAGATAAAGAGTATTTTGTGAATTTAATACATGACATATCGTTCTAAAATATTCACAATAATGTATTATTTTACATAATATTTCTTTCTTTCACTTCTATTACAATATTTACAATAACAAATAAAATTATAATAGATTCATCAAATAGTCTCCACATTCTAATTTCTTCCAAGGAAGACAACAACTATAACAACTGCAAAATGATCTGGAACCCCAAGTAGATCCATCTATTTTATAATATATTTAATTTTAAAAAAATAAAGAAAAGAGAGGAGTGAGAACAATATCCAATAAATACAATAATTTAAAAGAATATAAAGAATTATTTATAATCAATATTAACATATATATATATATAAATATATATACAGATCATATATTAAATTTTCATGATACAATAAAATTTGAATTATACTTGTAGTGACTAGTTAGGATAAATGAGCATCATCATAATATCAACTAATAAAAGGATATTTCACCTTAACTAACAATAGGATATTTTACCTTCATTTCTTACTCATTTAAATCCCCAAGGTCAAACCTCCAGCTACAAATAATTCAAACTTTATCTTCTATGGCCATAGAACGATATTTATCTTCATAAATACGTGAAGAAATAATAACAATAAGACGAGTCCAAGATATCACAACTATATCATAGTTGATTATAAATATATTTATAATAAATATATTTACGTAAAAAGAATATATTAAAAGTATCAATGATATAAATAAAAATAACAATAATTATAAAATAATTAAACAATATAAAATATGAACACCTTAATAATTAATATGGACGACAATAATTATATTATAGGTTAAGCAAATAAATGAGGTTAGGGACACCTCACTAGATAAATGTACAAAGAAAATAACATAAATAAATAAATAAAATTTTAAAGAGACAAAGTTCTCCTCCCCCTTACCTTGTAATGCACACTTATCAGAATTTTATTAGATAACTTTGCTCAGTAAATACGAATTTAATAAATTTTATGTACTTGAATGCTATATAGACTTATTAGATAACTTTGCTCTTTAATAAATTTTATGTACTTGAATGCTATATAGACATCCGCTGTACATTCCCTGTTTTCTAATTTTAATTATTCATATAAAAATATATAAGGTCATGGTAGGATTTGAACCCAGGACCCAGTACATATTGTTTTTAAGCACAGCTAGTTAAACTACTGAACCATTTTATTTTATATGTCTATAATATCATGCAAATTTATAATAAGTTATTTTTCGTAAGTAATATCTATAATATAATTAATTAACACACACACACACATATATATATATATATATATATTTATATATATACACA